CCACCCCGCACAACATGATCTACTCGACCACCATTATGATTACGCAAAAAAAAAAAACGGAGGTAACAAAAAAACGGTAACCTGGTTGCCGAGTTCACAAAGTGAATTGGCTTGTTTTACAACGTCGTTGCCAAGCGACAAAAACCCAACCCCGATGGTAAACACCGGGGAGGGGGGGGGAGCTCTTTTATCAAATCGACGGTGGGTGTCTCACGAGTAGCTGAGTCATCGATCACGCAGTTCCCTGCTGTTCCAAACAGTCAAACGGCGATGACGAAGGAAAGCCTTTGGGGGGGGCTCTTCAAATTTATGACGCGAAGAAACACCGAACATAGCATACATACATGCGGATACCCAAACCATGAAACGCGAGGATACTACATATCCATAAGTGGAGATCTGGCAGTGCAGATTCCAAAGCACAAAAGAAACGCCCAGGCATTGGTTGTGTAGCGTATTTCGACGTGAAGTCGTGATGTTTCACTACTAAAAGCTTGTTTTAGTCGCCGTGGCGTGGAAGCCTGATTTCCCGGGTCCATCGCCACGGTATAGGCGACTCTTCTCGTCGCCGCTACGAGCGAGCATGTGATTGCTTACCTATGGAGAGCCATGTCGATGACAGATTGGGCGGTTTTCTGCGACACTTTCCTGTGCCACTCTAGCTCTGTATCTCGACGGTGAATGCGTTCGTGCCATGACTCTTTCGTCTTTTGAGCCTGCAGCCTTTGTTGCAAGTCCTCTGCGTAACTGCCGACGGCACAAGAACGATCGGGCCAACGCAACGGACGTGTAAAACCTGACGCCTTGGACGCGTGGACAAACGGCAATACATTGGTGAGTAACCTGAGAGGGTCGTTTGAACTTGTCGTGCGGACGAAAACAACGTTGGCTATCGCACTTCATGTGTAGATCATTTGTATTTTGTGAACGACAAGTCGCCGGTGACTCCAAGCGACCACCCTGTACTTGATCACGAAACACGGCGATGGCCAACAACATCTGCGATTTGCTTGTACCTTTGTTGTGCAAGGGCATCAGCTTCCTCCCAAACTGTCGCTGCTTTTTTCCGGAGGTCCAAGTACTTCTGCGTGAAAATGTTCATCGTGCATCAGGTGGGGAACAGAAGCCGGCAACTGTACATCACCGAATGACAGCTGCGACTTCCGACTACTGCGATGGGCGCTTAAGTCCTAGTGTAGCCGACTACAGATGGCCGAATGCTTTGTTTGCTAACATCTCTATACTTGCTGTACGGCGCGAACTTTGTACATCCCACACTGTTCTATGTCCCACGGTGCCGCACATCCATGCCCGAGTGTCTCCTCGGACAGTGTTGCAGCAACAACCCTCGATTACATGCTTTGTTTGTGACAGCGCTTTACGCCCACAAATCTACACATGAAACCTCCCGCATACTTTACATGCCTGCTTCGTGGTTCTGCCGTCTTGCTCCCCAGTCGTAAACGTCGCGGATATAATGGGAAGCGAGGCTGCTTCGAGGCTCTCAGATGGAGCTCCGAAAAATGAATGTCGCGCTCCCGATTCAGGAGCATCGCCTGTCTCCACCGTCTCGTCTGATGCCACCGCCGGTTCCGCACCCCCTGTGTGTTTTCTCTCGGCAGTTTGCCCCACGCTTTGTTCTTGAGTACCCTCCTGTTGCTGTTGTTGTTGTTGTTGTTGTTGTTGTTGTGTTTGCACCTCTGCATCATGACTCGCTCTTGTGTCGGGTCTTGTGTCGTCATCTACGCCAAACTCAAACTCGCAATCGCTATACGTGCTTTCCGCATACCCTTCGGCCGCCATGGTTCACTTTCCCCCCAGCATAAACGCAACCGCCCCCCCCTGGCGGCAGCAGCTGATGCAGCAGCAGCAGAGCAAGGCGTGAGCGGAGCGATAAGTTTTAGCGGTCATGACCCCTCCTCGGTCAACGAGAAAGCGGGTTTAGCGACTCTCTCAGAAGAAGCAATCGACGCATCGTACCTCTATACCGCAGTGCCACTCAACTGCGTGGAAGCCGCAACGACTGCGCGGTCGACTGCACAAAATGTGACGGAAGAGGGACGTCGAGAAATGCACTAGATCAGGCCGCGCGAGAGGCGGGACAAATTACGAAGCACAGCGGTGCCACTCTGCAAATGCGTTCGAGAGTCTTGTGTGAAACTACATATATTTCGTCCCCATAGCGCATAGTCTACCCGCTCAAAATGTGCTTCGTTGTTACAAATAGCTTATATAATTAGGACTGAGTGACAGATGCTGGATACTGCGTGCGTGCAGCAATATGTCCACATAGGCTACTGAACGCAGGAAGTGTGCCCGGTTTGTCGGTTGAGATTATTTTTCGAGTATTAATGGGTGACAACCCCACCTATACGCCGCTGCGTACACAAGGTGACCACCTATGGCCACCTCAATAGAGGAAAGCCACGAGTAGTCGAAACGCGAGTTGGTCGCATACACGAGGGATTCACGCTTTTTGTTGCCATCTGCTGGACTTGCTGCCACCTGCCACCACTCGACACGACGAGCGAGGTGTTTCGTCTATAACACGGGCGCCATTTTTGTGAAACTGAAAAAAAAAACTCGCCGCGTTTTTCAAGTTTCGCCGCCCTCTTTTTTCCCTCTTCCTCGTCTGTCTGTCTGTCTCTCTCTCCGCTCTCGTGTGTGTGGCTCGGGTGTGTCTTTTTCGGCGTCCCTGCTCGGGCCACGCATTGGTTGCTGCATGGCTGTATGCTAAATAGGAAAACGGAGTGGGAGAAAAGCTCGCGACAGGCGGTTGGCGGTACCGGTAACGAGCCGGCTGCGGCTGCAGCAGCAAGGCGCGGGACTCTTCCTCGTCTTCCTTCTTCCTCGCTACCCCTCAGGAAACGTCGACATCGGTTGCTCGAGATGACCCCTCGCAGTGTGCATGTCATGTCAACAAGTGAGTACGCCGCGAGAGGATAATGGCCTATGAACCAAGAACTTGTTCGCTTGTACATACCATGCGCACAGCAGTGCACACGTGCATGGAGGTTGATTTGGGTTCTGGTGCCAGACCTCAGAGCATCCGTCGAACCCCAACCTACACAGCAGTTTAGATGCTCTTTGTACAGAGTCGGTCGGTCACACCGCATTGGTGTCAGTAGTGCACCTGCTACCCCCGCTACCCTGTGGAACAGGGCCAGCAGGTGCCGAGTGACTTGAGGTGTGCCTTTGTTCAGTCGTTTTCACCTACCTGAACGCTCAAGGGTATTGCTGTATTGTACTACAAGGTCGTTCGAGAACCGCCCTTGGTTGTCCGCCTGAAAAATATCTGTTCTTTGTGTTTGTTCTTGCGTGGTAATCTCCTGGCCTTGGATGTGATGGCTGTGTACTGTGTATGTACAGCAGTGTACAGTAGTAGTACACAGTAGTTCAAATCTCTACCGGCTACCTAGTACACATGAGTCGTTGGGTTTCTTCCGGACTTCGTATGGCATTAAGCAGGGGGAGCACTTATTTTCGCGAGGGGTATTTGTCAATTACTGGCTGTTCGTCGATTAGTTTGGTTTCACCCTCTGTAAGCAACCCAGCCCTTGGCCGGCACTTTAGCAGAAGCTTTTCGCAATGTCGCCTCATGCCATGTCTTGAGGTGCTGCTTGGAGCACAAATACCGTTTACAGGGACGCCCGCCGTCGGTCGTTCATTCGCGTTCGTGCAGCGCTTGCCCACAATCATGGGTACCTACCTTGTCTTTCATGGTGGTGTCTACGCCGCGTGCCCGTGCCTCAAAACTTGTGCTGTGTATTGCAGCGGTACATATCGTACCGTGCTTGTGCGTGTTATGGAACCCATCGGTGACTTTTGCACCCGTCGGGGTTATGGCACCGGCGGGCGCAAAAAACGCAAAAGGGTTACATTATTTTATTGCATTTCCGAACTGGTATCGGTGTTGTCGCACCCGATATATAACCGCACTTCCGCTTTGAACTGCATATATCGAACGGCTGTGGGGTGCCGGCGGGCATCAATCGGGGCGCCAATCCTTTCATCATACATATCGTACCGTCGAGGTGTACGCGTAGAAATGAGGCAAGTTCTTGTTACGGTAATCAGTGCATATCTCGAGTGCACTCAACCAAGGAAACACGAAAACACACGGCACGCATCCAGCACCTCTAACCCACCCATCCAACTCATCAATGGCACCGGTATCGTGCCCCTTGAGGAAGACACAGAGGAAAGCACCAGCCAACGAATGAGGCTTGCGACCAACAAAGAGGCCGGAAGACAAGCAGATAGCGTACCATGTATTTATTCCCAGCAGGGAGCCGCATTGTCTTTTGGTACATGCATACCCCGGATCCTGTGCCGCAAAGCGGCCCTACTTGTACCATGGAGCGCCTTTGGTCGTTTCTTCGGTATCGCACCCTTCGGCGTCATCGCACCGAGGTGCCTGCACTTAGCACCGTAGCATGTTCCGTATCGCACCCATCAGTGTCATCGCACCGGGAGCGCGATTGAATTCTAGAACGAAATGATTCAATTGCACTTCTGCACGGGTATCGATGTTATGGCACCGGGGGGGGGGGGG